AGGAGGCGGAGGTTGCGGTGAGCCGAGATCGCGCCATTGCACTCCAGCCTGGGTAACAAGAGTGAAACTCCGTCTCAAAAAAAAAAAAGAAAAAAAAAAGAAAAGAAGAAGAAGTGTTGTGTAATTTTATTTTCTAATTTTGGTTTTTTTTTCAATGAAATGTTTTTCAAAACATTTAAACAAATCACTTAATAGCTGACCTGTTATCGACTGCTGTACTTAGACATTCCTAAATCAAAATTTATTTTAAACCAAATTTGAACAAAAACTTTCATATTATCAAAAGAATGTCCAAGGATTTTAATTAAGGAAATCATTTGAACTGTGATACAGTCTAGTGTTTATTTTATGTTATGGCAGGTACACTTGAATTTCAAAAATTTAAAACATATATAAAAAGTGGTTAGGGACTAACATTTGTATCAACAGTTGATAAATGTCTAAGATTGTTTATTATACAGCAGGGTACAATGGTAGTGCTAATGCCAACAGGGCACCATGGAAGTTAGTCTAAAAATTATCGCTAGGCTTTATACAAGCAACAACATATGCTGCTGTTTTTAGAATTTCGGGAAATGATCTGCTTCTAATTCTAAGCAGTCCTTTAACATTTTTAAATGTTATACAGTGTTATAGTATTTAGTTTGGCAAATGTTTCAAAATAAAGTAGAAATGTATTCATAACATCACAGAAATGCACATCCAATTTTGTTTTCAATAAGAACCATAGGTACAGATCAGAACTCTTCCCTATATGAAATAATTTATACACAGATGAATGCTATAATATCACTATCTAAAATAATCACTAAATACAATTTTTTCAGAAATAAACAAGCAAAGATTTTTTTTCATTATCAAATATCAAAAACATGTAGATAATGTATGTTTTTCAAATAAATGATACTCTAAAATTATAGGAATAATCTCAGTGAATTCAGTGAATGTGCAACCTAAATCAACCAAGTATATACTGTAGTACAACCATATTAAGAAACCAATGATCAGAAAATACAACCGTATGAAAGAAATTTATAATCCACAAACTTTTTCAGGCCTTAAGGTAAAATAGTTCCACAGTCTACAGGTAAAACCAAGGCAACAAAAATGCGTGCTTGTCTTGAATAAGTAGATATTTTATGCAGAAGATGTAACACTTTGTTTGTAGACAGCATGGTATGCATTTCTCAGCAAGACATAAGGAAAACAAGACTCCAAAAGATCCATTGTAAGGAACGGGGATTCTTGTACAATCTGAAAAATTTTAAAAATGCATCAAAACTCAAGTTATTTATAATAGGAACAGTTCTTGACAACCAGTAAGGCATAATTTCTATACTGTTCTTATTAGATATAGACACATATTATTTCCTTTTTACTTAATCTAAAACGTAAATATGCCACAGTGAATGTGTATCAAAATGTTTAAAAAGTACTACTTCTCAATTAAATTATTATTATTGTTGTTATTTTTGAGATGGAGTTTCACTCTTGTAGCCTAGGCTGGAGTGCAATGGCACGATCTCGGCTCACTGCAACCTGCTTCCCGGGTTCAAGGATTCTGCCTCAGCCTTCCAAGTAGCTGGGATTACAGGCATGAGCCACCACACCCAACTAGTTTTGTATTTTTAGTAGAGATGGGGTTTCTCTGTGTTGGTCAGGCTGGTCTCAAACTCCTGACCTCAGGTGATCTGCCGGCCTTGGCCTCCCAAAGTGCTGGGATTACAGGCATAAATCACCGTGCCCAGCTCAATTAAATTATTTAATCAACAAGAATATATTGAGCACTTTGGTATTCCTCATTGATATACTAGAAATAAAAGACAATAGAAAAATACTTAGGCCGGGCGTGGTGGCTCACACCTGTAATCCAAGCACTTTGGAGGCCAAGGCGGGTGGATCACCTGAGGTCGGGGGTTCAAGACCAGCCTGACCAACATGGTGAAACCCCGTCTTTAAAAAAAAAAAAAAAAAAAAAGAAAAAAGAAAAATACTTAAAATATGGTCCTTGCTAACAATTCTAACTGGCAATCCAAGACTAAGCTAGGAAGCAAAACCAAACATAAGACCAACTATAATTAAATGGAAAGCTGCAAATTCTAGAGGAATTCAAAATGGAAGAAAGATTAATATAGGCCAAAGTAATCAGGAATGATTTGGAAAAAGATTTGAGCTGTGGGGTGTGCTGAGTCATCAGGATAAATCCAGTTTCTGCAGATAAGGAAGATGACTCTAAGTGGGGAAAGAGCCATGTGGTAGAAACAAGCAGAGCTGGTTCACAATTACTGCAGAGGGGGAAGTGACTAGGCACAGAGAATTATAGAAAATTACACAGAATGGGCAGATGGGCAGAATAGAGTCAGAATGTAGAGAAATCAGAAAACTAGAAGAGAGTTGAAACCATTACAGTAGAAAAATATAAGGCCTAAGTGTTTTCCAACAGGTGGAAAAACTGTTCATAAAAGAATACTCACAGTTAATGCTAACCTTTGACTTTGTTATTTTCTGATATTACCAAAATGATAAAATATGAGTGATGTCAGTCTTCTCTGCAAATTTTAGAAAGGTATGGTTTATGTGAAGTGAATAAAAGGGATCAAAAAAGTATTCAACAAATAAAATGTTCAGAAAAGATTCTCAGGAAAGACTGGAACTTTTTTATTGTTAGTAAAAATCAAAATGAGACTTACCATATCTAGCAGTAAATACACTGACTCTCTATTTCTTGTTGTAGTTTTATCTGTCTCCTGGCCAATTTTCAGTAGACTGGAGGATGCAAGCTTAAAAGTATACATACACATAAAGTGAGCTTGTTAATAACAGGTTCATCAGTTACTTACTTTTGGTATGCTTCAACTTTCAACACATTTCAATCACTTAGTGCTATATATAAAATAATGAGCAATTAAATAACAAATAAGATGAGCTTAGATACTCTATATTCAAACAATAATTTAAAGAGTAATTAAGGCACAAAAAGACACTAACACAATAAATGTAATCAAATACTCTTATTGGTCTTTAAAACTGATTTTTTTCAGAACAAGTCTGCTTTTTAAAATGATTCAAATTATTTTCTCTTATCCTATCCCAATATCTGTATTGACTATATTTCTTAGTTACCAAGTAAAAAGACAGTTTCACACTGGATCTGACTTCACAGAAACACTATAAGATTAAGACATTAAACTCGTGAATGAAGAAATTATCTGCAAATGGAAATAAATATTTAAAAATTTTAATACTGTTTTTCTTGAAATAGAAGTTATTTTCCCCTCAAGTCAATGCTATATTTGCATTTTTAATTTAAAAATTATTTTTTTAAAAAGCGGACAGGATTTATAACTAAAAAAGTAAATGTTCTAGAGTTCAGTACGCCAGGGTCTTTCCTCTAAATAAAGTATGGAAAAGGTTATAGTAATAAAGAAGAGGAAGAACTACACTGATATAGAAACTAAAAAGCATGCTTCATGAGGCTACATTTAGCACTCCTCTCTTTTGATAGGGAGTAGTATTTTTAATGATTAATTTATCACCCATTAATGGTCTTTCTCCAAAGAAATGGAAATAAGTAAAATATGTCTTTTTAGAGTCTCCCTGTTGACCTCAATTTTCCTTTGCTTTTTTCTCTTTCAAATCTAGGATAATTACTAGGGCAGTCTAAACATCAGCTTAGAAAAAAAGGTCATATTGCAGAGCTCTAGAATTGGGAAAGGGACTTCCAAGTCTAAGGCAAATGATAACTGACTGCTCCTCAATTTTAATGCCCCGCCTTCATCTGTTTCTCCCTCTAAAAAAGAAAATAAATAAATAAAAATAAAAGGAGACTGAAATTTATATACCTGAGAAAATATGAAAACAAAATGAGAGGACACTAGATAAAATGTAAAAATAAAGAGAAGTTATTCTTATATCTTGTAGTTCTGATTTTTAGTTTCCTTTATAAAACGTGATGAGTTCTGTAATCTGATTATACCTACCGCCAGAAATTCTTTAAGACGGTCTTCAATGCTTCCTTTGTGAATTGTAAACAAAGCTGCAGCAATCTGGTTGATGGCTTTGGCCAAGCAATGAATGTTGTTGCAATGTCCTGAGAAAATGCAAATAGGGTTGTGCAGACCCCAAAATAGCAAATAATACATAGAAGGCAAATCTTTAATGACTTCACAATCTACATAAATAGTGGCATAATTAAGAGTAGAGTTGGAACATGACCGAACTTGGTCTCCTTTGACTTTCATGAACACTGAAGTTTTTAAAAACAGTGTAGCAAGAGAGCAGCAAATGATCATGCATATGTTAAACAGGCAAACACTTCTGAAAACATGTAAAAGAAATCACACATCAGTTTTATAGTATCTTGGAAACAAAAAAGAAGTGCTTAGCTGCTTTACAACATTTTATCTTTCAATCCTTAAAACAATCCTATGAGTTGGATACTCCCTCACTAACTTCTACACACATGCAGGCACACATGAACTTACTTCCACACATTCCATATATCAGGAAACCGCAGTTTAGATAAAAGGAAACAGACTACCCCAGGTTCCACTGCCAGTTAGTGGCAGAACTTAAAAATCATATTTCATTATAAAAGAGCACCAATTACTTGAAGAGAAAAGTATCTACTATACCAAAACACATGATTTTTCCATTGCCAAAACACTTTTAAACTACTATTACCTTCTATAGCAGGGCTGTACTGAGACATTACATTACTGGCCAGTGTTGGCAAAGAAACTGCCACAAACACCATGAGAAGGCAGGCAATTTTATACTCTTCTTCTGGACTAATGTTTTCTAAGAGACAAAAATTAAAAATAAAATCAAGGTATTTCTTCAAGATTTGTTAAGATTTGATAATCTAAACTAGACAAAACACTTTTATTTTAAAAATGACTGACTTTTTTTTAGAAATAGTAAAATACTTTACTAGCATTCTTAGAATAGGTGAAAATTTGGTTATTAAAATATAAAGTAGAAACAATTTATGTTACTAAAGTATTGACTATTATCATTACTTAGGCATATTTCAAGGAGCTCCGATTATATAGCAAAGTAAGATTTCATTTCTCTTAATTGTAAGATTATAGAACAAAAAATATAGTTAGGATAACTGCGATCTTAAAATTTCCTAATTGAAAACCAATGAGAAATTATTACTTTATGAGAAAGTTCTATTTATAATTTAGAAAACTTATTATCTCATAAATTATTCTGAAAAATCACCAAAACAATTCTTACTTTTTGAAATAGATATGACTATAATTTGAAATTTACTATTTAAGAGATATAAATATGGAAAGTGGACTGGGTTTCCAATCTATTTTAGAAGACAGAAGAAACTAGTCATGAATAAAAATTGCCCAAAAGTTTTCAAGACACAACCCTTTCTAAAACATTTATTGTGATATGCACTCAAATTGTGGGTTATTTAGGCTACTATTCACCATTAGACGTAATTAAGAATTGAATATAAGAAAAAAGCCAAAATATGTTTTAAAGATTTGGTTGATTACAAAAAATACAGTTGTAGCAAATCAAGTAACAGTTATAATTATCCATGTGACTAAATGTAACATACAGTACGAATGAGGAAACAAAAAGCATTGTTAAATGAAAAAAAAAAAAAAGGAGCATTTTAGTAGTAGAACTAGATGAAATGCTGTAGTTTACTTTGTAGAGAAATCCAGAACTATCTAGAGCATTCTAAACACTACATTTTAAAGGGCTGGTATTAAAAATTTCTAAATGTTTTATATAACACTGTACAAACTCTTGATGATGAATAAACTCTAGTCCAATAAAAACAGAATACCCTTTTCTAGATCTCCGTTTTTTGTTATCTACTGGACCATCTCCCATCAGCATACAAATGCTATAATCTCTCCAATCTTAAAATATCCTTAAAATAATAATATCTTTAAAAAAATTATTATTTTAATAATATTTAAGATATAAATTAATATTTAAGATATTATAAATATCTTAAAAAATATCTTAAAATATCCTTCTCTTACTTTGCTCTTGCCTCCAGCTACAATAATTTTATTTCTTTGCTCCCCTTTATAATAAAACTCTTTGAGAGAGTTGTATTCTTATAGTTATCTCCAATTCCTTTTCTCCTATTCTCCCTTAAGTACTCATTAATCAGCCTTTTGCCCATAAAACCTCACTGATAATGACCTTCTCAGTACCACCAATTAACTCTACATAGCTGATCACCTCCTTTTTATCTTCCTGGAAACTACTCTTTCCTGGTTTTTCTTCTACTTCATTGGTCCTGCCTTCTCAATTTCTCTAAATTTCTTTTTTGGTGGTTTTTCCTTTTCTCCCTGAGCTCTTAAATCTTAGAACGGCTCAAGGCTCAGACCTGAATCCTCCTGACTGCTGCATCTGTACACACTAAATGGCTCAGTAATCTCAAGTTCCACAAGGTGGGATGTTTGTGTTTTATGCACTGATATATTCCAACTACCAGCAATAACAATAACAAATTTAAAAAGCTTAAGGCAAAGCAGGCATTTTAATATATGGTTAAATATCATACCTGTACCTATGATGCCCTGGTAACTTTAATTAAGAATACTAAATGTTTACTAATGCATTTTACCTGATTTTTGTGAAGAAAGAGCTACTACCAATGCAGGATCAATCTCACAAGGTAATCCAGCAGCTGACGATAACTCATACACATTCATTGCAACCTGATAAAAATATACGAATTACAGAGCAGTAAATAGTCTAAACAAATTTCTGAGAAAGCTCCCTGTTTATTAGTCTGCCTAGAACACCAGAGAATTTCAGAAACTTGGCTGAAGCAGAAACTACAACATAACTAAATATATTGAACAACTGATTCAAGGTAGGTTGAATACTGTGTGAAGTGTTGCTGGTTCTAACTTCCTACTGCTGGGCCAAACAAAACTTGTATACTTTCTGTGGCACATTTCAGCTGGATCATTCTAAAGTTACCACTTTGCTCGGAGGCATGAATATAAAATATCAAGTCAGAAAAGATAAATACATGAACAAAAGTGAATCAATATTACTAGACCTATGTTTATGTCCATAGTAGTTTAATGAAAAATTACAGTGGTTTAATGTCTAATCATATCTATAAACGTGAAAAATTACTTATAATAGGTTTTTTAAGGAGTATTCATTTAAAAATCTGATAAGGGAATTTCTAGTAACTAATTTTTCTGTATCACATATAGATATCAAATATTCAAGATATTCTGACTGTTCAATAACCTCAGATAAAAACTATCTATATAACTGGTTACCTCTGATATGGTGACAACAAACCTTAGTATAAAATATGAAGTAAAACAGTATAGCTTAGAAAAAATAAGAACATGGCAGGGATTAAGTTCTAGTTTAAAATGTTTATAATCTATTACTTACTTCACACACAAAAATTAATTCAAAATGAATAATAAACCTAAATGTAAAAGCAAAAACTGTAAAATGCTTAGAAGAAAATATAGGCACAAATCATTAAGACCCTGCATTTAGGCAATGGTTTCTTAGATTGACACCAAAAGCACAAACAAACAAACAAACAAAACCCCAAAAATAGATAAAAATGGACTTCATTGAAATTAAAAGACATCATCGACCTATAGAATTAGAGAAAAGATTTGCAAATCATGAATTTGTTAATGGACTTGTATCCAAAGTATATGAAGAATTCACAAATAAAAAAGACAACCCAATTTAAAATGTCAAAGGCTTTGAATAGACATTTGTCCAAAGAAGATAAACAAATAACAAAAACCTATAAAAACATGTTCAATATCATCTGCCATCAGGAAAATGCAAATCAAAACAATGAGATGCCACTTCACATTCACTAGAGTGGCTATAATTAAGAACACAGATAATAACAAGTATTTCTGAGGATGCTGAAAAAGTGAAACCATCAAACAATGCTGGTAGGAATGCAAAATGGCACACCCACTTTGAAAACAGTTTAGCAGTTCCTCAAAGGCTAAACATACAGTTTTCATATGACCCATCAATTCTCTCCTAGTATATACTCAATAGAAATAATATACGTTCACATAAAAACTTATACACGGATGCTCACAGTAGCATTGCTTATAATAGCTAAGAAGTAAAAACAACCCATATGTCCATCAATTGATGTGAATAAATAAAAGGTGGTATATCCATACAATGAAACATTATTCAACAATCAGTAAAAAAAAAAGTACTGACATGCTGTAATATGTATGAATCCTGAAAATATGCTAAGTGAAAGAAGCCAGTATCAGAGGACTACAAATGATGATTTATATAAGTGTCCAAAGTAGGCTAACTTAAACGGAAAGTAGATTAGTAAGTTGCCTAGGGCTGGGGATGGCAGACAAGGAGTAGAATTCGGAGTGACTGCTAATGGGTACAAGGCTTCTTTTTTGGGATGATGAAAATGTTCTAAAATTGACTGTGGTGATGGCTGAACAAAACTCTGTCACTACACTAAAAACCACTGAATTGTGCATTTTAAATGAGTACATTTTATGATAGATGAGCTATTACTCAATAAAGCTGTTGAAAAATATATTTAAAAAAACAGTTAAGTTCTATTGAAAGCATGATTAGGTCAGGTGAAAACTGAATGGTTGCTCAGAATATTAATTAATTCTCGTAATTCTGCACACCAGCGTCCTCTCAAGAACTAATTAGGTTTTGTTTTCTTAACTTTATTTTTTTCCTTAGTGTTTCTACTTAGGAAATCATTTTGAGCTATCTGTACATAGTTTTCAATCATAAAATCATAAGACAATCACTGATCTCAAATGTTTATTCTGTGCAAAACACTGTAAGAGAAACAGCAACAACAACAAAAAATAAAGTCTTGATCTTCAAGATATATACAATTTAGTATAAATATAAGTAGAAAAATATAACACAAGGCAGAGTATAGTCAACTCCACAGTGGATAAATAAGTTCTTTGATAACACTAGGAAAAAACTTCTTTATCACTGGAAAATCTAGGAATGGTTTTTAGAAAATGGCGATTGAATCAGGCCTTAAAATACAAGCAGGATTTCAAAAGGCAGAAAGAGAAAAGGGTGGTATCTTCAAGTAGAATAAATTAGAAGGTAAAACAGACAGCTGTGAGAATGCAACAGAAAGATCTAGTTAGCTCACAGAATATCATATAAAAAGAGTGGCAGAGTAAGAAAGAGGAGACTGGGAGAAGGAAGAAAGAAGTGGTAGAAAATAGATCTCAAAAAGTTTGAGTGGCACCAATTTGAGTTTTGGTGTCATTCGAAGGAGTTTAGACATTATTTTTTTTCAGTCAGTGTTTTTCAAGATATGTGAAAAAGAAACAATCTAAGAAATATGTCAACTTAGAAAACACAAATGTGAGTCCTGATATATCACTTACTAGATGTATAATCACTGGTCAATCACTGCTAGGATTACATGAATGGCTGGATTTCATGGCTCAATAGATTTCAAAATAAAAATTGTAAGCTCACAGAAGGCTACTAACCCATTGTTTTATATATATTACTTAAAAACAGAATACTAAAAATCTTTTTAAAATTACAGCCTATAATTACATCCTTTTATAAGAAATGGCCTTTTAACATTTATTTTTAAAAATTTATTGAATTTTACTGTATTTAAAACAACACAACTATTATTTCATTGCCTCATATTTCTTAATTTTCTTTATGACCATGTATAAACAGCTATCCATTTAAGGAAAAAAAAAATCTATTTTTAGTCAATTTTGCATTGCTATAGGTGATCAAAGAAGACTGACTTTCAAAATGCCTAGGTAGTATTTTGGTGCTGAGCTCTTTAGATTCAATTACAAAGGCAAGCGTGCAAACTAACCACTATAAAATCGAAACTATACTTATTATATTTATTATATTAAATATAAAACTATATTTATTATATAAAATACAATAAATTCTAACTATACTATAGTTAGAATTTATTATATTTTACTGCATATGTAATTTAAATATTTCATTTTAGAGACTGTAAATGCCAACTATAAATTATATTATTACCTTCATATCAGTTTCTCTTGGAATGTGATCCTTAAAATCTTCAATTGAGCTTACAAGAAAAGGAATGTGGTAGGACAAGACCTAGGTAGGATTACAAATAAGAATACAGAATTATTGTTCAATGGCAACCCCTATACTTAAAAAATATTACCAATTGATTAATTCTCGTTTTCATAAAAATTATTTTACTTTACCTAATTTTATTTTTCCAAAATTCCAAGACATACAGGAATGAAATGCATTCAAAATTATTCAATATTAAAGCAAGTACAGTAAAAATGGAAAATATTCAAATGATAATAAAGAGCACTGAAAAAGTACTACAATAACCATGCAAGTTATACTCTCCAAGTAGCAGTACTAAAACAAAAAAAGAGCTTAAATAACTAATTTCTATGTATGTTATTTTCTCTAATTACTAAAATTGGAATTTTAATTGTATCATTGCCAAATATGAATCTGAAAAGTAACTTTCAATTTTCTGAGAAATTTAAAGGGATTGTTTGGATATAGAGTATATATTGAAATGGTTTCTTACATCTCTAAGTGCTTCTTGTGCCAATGATCGGAAGGATAAAATTACACCGATTATTGTCATCCTCTTCAAGACACTGTCAACAGCTAAATTCAAAGAAACAAAAGGAAGAGAATAAAAAGTGTGAACTGGATTCTTTCTTAACCTTGGAAAAAATCTAAATGTATTAAAGTCCTAAAATTCCTATGATAAAAGGCACAATTAACAGCAATTTGATTACAATAATGATTAAAGAGGCAAAGATATTGATAGCTAATATTTAAATTGCTTAAAATTTTAAGTAGCTATAGTTTACATCAATTGGAGTATACTGTGTTCTTTTAAATAGGATAGATGGTTCACAAGTAGCTAACTATAACTCCATTTCAGAAATAGTAGGGGCAGGAAAAAGGGAAGAGAGACTAGGCGAAAAAGAAGCTGATCAGAGTGAACAGGAGTTAAATCCTCAAATGGCCCAGGAACTCAGCAGTGCTAAATTCTTACACTGTTAAGGTCTTGAGTTAAGAAACAAAAATTGCCTGTTGAGAACACAAGCCGTTTTGGCAGGACCAGTTTGCTGAAGTCCATGAACAGATGTGATCACTTACATATTGGTTAGAGAGCATTATACTAAAAATTATTGACAAATTTTCAAGGCTGAGCATGGTGGTTCACGTCTAATCCTAGCATTTTAGGTGGCTGAGCTGGGAAGACTGCTTGAGCCTAGGAGTTCACAAGCAGCCTGGGCAACATAGCAAGACCCTGTCTCTACAAAAAAAAAAAAAAAAATCAGTTGGATGTGGTGGCAAGAGCCTGCAGTCCTAGTACTTGGGAGGCTAAGATGGGAGAATCCTTTGAGTTCAGGAATTTGAGGTTGCAGTGAACTATGATCATGCCACTGCACATTGGCCTGGGTAACAGAGCAAGATCCCATTTCTAAAAAAAAATAAAACTCCGTTAACAAAGTAGGATTGGAAGGGTCAATATGATGGTTCAATATCTTCACATTTTTTAATGCCAAACGAACATTTGTTGAACACCATATACAAAGCATTATACTATGTACTAAAAGAAATATAAACAGAATAATGATCTAGACCTCAAATAGCAGACAATCTAAATGGGCTGTCATGAAAACTAAGAAATATAATTCCATTTATGTAAAATAAAAGATATACACAAATATTTGTATGTACATAACAAATTTCTGCAAAGAGATGTATACTACAGTAACTGCTAATTAAAGTTACTAGTTGAGGAGTAGGAATAGAGAGAAGTGTTTTATTTTTAACTTTCTGCCTTCTGTGTAGCTTGTTTGAACTTTGACCACAGCATCTTTTATTAAACCATCCAAATAGGCCTAATATAAGCCAAAGGTGAATTAAAATAGTCATGTTAACAAAATAAGGCCCAAATTTATTAACAATTCCATGTGAGCAGGAACTACTCCTAATCTTTTCATCTACCTGTAGCACTCAGCACAGTGCCTGATACCCAGATAGCTGAGACTAGGTTGGGTGGCGGAGGCGGGCAGAACATTTGAGGTTAGGAATTGGAGACCACCAACCTGGCCAACATGGTGAAATCCCGAATCTACTAAACATACAAGAATTAGCTGGGCATGGTGGCACCTGCTGTAGTCCCAGCTACTTGGGAGGCTGAAGGCAAGAGAATCGCTTGAACCCAGGAGGCAGAGGTTTGCATGAGCCAAGACTAAGCCACTGTACTCCAGTCTGGGCGACAGAGTGAGACCCCACCTCAAAAAAAATAATAATAATAAAATAAAAAGGGGGAGACTAGGAAATTGTTACTACCCAGAGAAGAAATGATGGTGAAAGAAAAGATTTCTCTGAGAAATGCTATCCAAGTTGGGTCCAAAGGAGGATTAAGAAGAAAAAAGCCTTCCAGTCCAGAAAATAAGCAGTGACAAATTCAGAAAAATGACAAAGAACAAAGTGAAGAATCAGAGAAGATTCATTGTGATATAGCCATATATTTTCCAAAGTATGGTACCCAGAATTTAATCAAGTTTGCAAAGACTATACCCTACAACCTCTTCTTGAATGTGTATAATAATGACACATTAAAAGTTCTAAGATACTTCCCAATAAGAAATACTGTTTAATGTACTGTTTAATGGATTATTTGCCAAACCATTTGACCACTGGTACTTCCCTTCACCCCACATAACATCCACTAACTTCCCAAGGAACTAACACTAGAACAGAGGCTATGTGGGTCTTGGACCAGGCAAGCAAATAGGTAGTGGGAGACAGGCAGAAAAGCAATGCTGGTCAATTATTTCGTTAATCCAAATAACAGCTTTTGAATGTCATGCTAAGGAGTTTATGCTATATCCTTCAAGCAATGAGGGACCTGTTCAGGCTTTTCAAAATATAAAGAGTTATATGAAAAGAATTCTGTTTAGAAATGACTCTTCCCATTTTAAAAACGACCAAAAAATTTTTAAAAATTTAATGTAGTGTATGGCCAAACAATGTATAGTTTTGGACGAAATGTGACACATCAATTTGTAAACTCTCATTTATAAGACACAGCTACTACATGTGGAATATGAGGAGTGAAAGAATCAGGATGTCCAAGTTTTCCAGTGTGAGTCACTGGACGGATGGGGAGAGAGACAACAAAATAGTCAAAAGAGAAAATATCAGTTGGGCACAGTGGCTCACACCTGTAATTCCAGCACTCTGGCGGGCTGAGGTGGGTGGATCATGAGGTCAGCAGTTCGAGACCAGCTTGGCCAATATGGTGAAACTCCATCTCCACTAAAAATACAAAAATTAGCTGGGCATGGTGGCACACACCTGCAGTCTCAGCTGCTCGGGAGGCTGAGGCAGGAGAATCACTTGAACCCAAGAGGTGGAGGTTGCAGTAAGCCAAGATCACGCCACTGTACTCCAGCCTGGGCAACAAAGCGAGACTCCGTCTCAAAAAAAAAAAAAAAAGAAACTATCAGGTTTTTTCTCTCCACCTACATATACCTGCCATGGAAGAGATAATTCCCATTCCAGGGATGTTATGAAAAACCTGTGGGTCATATAGCTGAAAATATCTATCAATGTTTCTAAAGTTTAGTGTAATTCCGAACGACCCAGAGGACTTGTTAAAATACAAGCAACAGCACCACCCTGGAACTTTTTAACAATGTAGATTACTGGGCCCCACCTCAGCTGCTGAATCAGAACTCTGGAGTGTCTGCTTGCCCTGGGTTATACTTTGAGAAGCCTGGTCAAATTAGTACTTCGTATTAAACATCTGTATATCAACAAAAGAGAGTGAAGGCTGAGGACGAATATTTAAGACTCACTAGTAAGACTGAATAAGGGAAGAGAAAATTTTGGATGAAATTTTCCCAATAGAATAGCAGAGTAAAAATGGAAGAGTAAGGTATCACAAATTGACACTACATAAAAGATGAACCTGCATAAATGATGAAGTTGAGAGTATAGATAAAAGTTTTGGCAGATAAAGAAAATAAAGCCTTAATAAAAAGGATAAAAGAGATAAACACTACAGAGAAATAAACAGAATGAGAGTTGAGGAAAAAGGACCAAATCTTGCAAATGAGCAGTCACTAACAAACTATTTCAGAAAGGTTTCAGGAAAGCAGCCATATTACAGTATAACAAGAGTGGACAGGTGGGAAGATCAAACAATGAATACAAACTAGTCAAAAACTTTCAAAGACAGATAGGTGGTAAGATGAATAAGAGGCCAATTTAACAACAGACTTAAAAAATGTTATTTCACAAGCAGTAGTTGGCTTTCAGGGTGCAGGAGACCTTCTAGGGATCAGGAAAATTGCTTTGTGGGGATGAATGCAGCAAAAAGTCAAGGGTATGACAGCATAAGGGAGAATGCACTAACCAAATTTCATAGTCCAGAATGAATAAAATACATAAAGCCAGGAAGAGGTCATCAGGAAAGCAGGGAGGCATAAAAGTTTCAATGAGCTAGAACAAAAAGTTCAATAGGTACAAAGGAGTGTGAGAGCTAGAAGACATGGCTATGATCTAAGAGTTGAATTTCAAAGTTCAAGATTTTTACTGGTGGAATAGTTTCAGGAAACGATAACATCCGAAGTACTGACAAAGTAAAGATCTTTGGAGGCAACTTATAGGTTTATAGAATGAGTTTTCAAAAGAAAAAACTGCTGTAGGAAAATTAGAAATATTTCTAGTCTGGAATCAGGGAGTCAGTAAAGCAATGAACCTAGTCCCAAGAAACAGAAGGTCAGAGAATAAAAATTATGAAACATAGACGTAAGGAGATTTGCTCAAGTCATACAGGAAATCTTAAAACTGATAATAAGGCTGGGCATGGTGGTTCACACCTGTATCTCAGTACTCTGGGAGGTGAAGGTGGGTGGATCACTTGAGGTCAGGAGTTCAAGACCAGCCTGGACAACATGGTGAAACCCTATCTTTACTAAAAATACAAAAATTAGATGGGTGTGGTGGCATGTGCCTATAGTCCTAGCTACTTTGGAGGCTGATGCAGGAGAATTGCTTAAACCAGGAAGAGGAGGTTGCAGTAAGCTGAGATCGTGCCACTGCACTATAGCCTGCGTGCCAGAGCGAGGCTCCGTCGAAAAAATTAAAATTAAAAATAGATAAAATAAAAATAAATGAATAAATTCCAGATTGCCTTCCAATTCAGACCTAACTTAATAAGTCATAATGCTTTATCTTATGTGCTTGTTGACTGTAAAAAACTCCTTCAAAAACACATTGACTTCTGGATATGGACATGGGGAGAAAGAAACACACAAGAATCAAAAACAAAAGAGAACATTTTGGAAGACAGTTCAATTGCTGAAAAAGTAGTTCTCTCTACTCTCCTAAATAAGTCACTCTCAAATGAATCGTTTCTTTTTCCAAATTATAGAAAAAAATTAATAAAATTATATTTAAAGACAAATTTGATATATATGGGTCATTAATATTCAACAATTTAGATTTCTGTTTTGGCCACTTCCAAAATGGCCAAAGAGTTAGTGGTTATGAATCACCACTATTATATACAACATTCAAGGAAGCAGAATCTTGACAAAAGACTACGAACTTTATTTTGAAAACTTGCAAATTCTGTTTGGAATTTTAACAAATTCCACTGCTTCAATTCCACAAATATGAGAGTAAATAAACAAAGTATTGAACACTGCAGTGGATTATTTGCTTCTAACTAGATGGGACAGTCAGAAGATTGTTAGTAGGAAAGTAAATAGAGTTAAGGCCAATGGGGTGGTCAAATGCGTATTAAAAAATGGGATAAAACAAGAAAAAAAAATAAAGAAAAAGGACTAGAAAAACAGATAGTAAACCAACAAACAATAACAAAAGACAAGAGATTTAAAAAGTCATTTCCTATTTATTCATACTCCTTCTCCCTATAATGCTACCAAGTCTTTCATGTATTTTTAATTTTATGTTTTTAAGTATCATATAATATAAAGTATCACACAAAAAATGGTCTTTTCCTTTTGGTGTACAGCTTCAAATTGTTCTTTTTCTCTCTTTTTTTTTTTGAGATGGAGTTTTACTCTTGTTGCCTAGGCTGGAGTGTAATGGTGCAATCCCGGCTGACTGCAACCTCCACCTCCTGGGTTCAAGCAATTCTCCTGCCCTAGCCCCCTGAGTAGCTGGGAATACAAGCATGTGCCACCATGCCTGGCTAACTTTTTTTGTATTTTTAGTAGAGACAGGGTTTCACCATGTTGGTCATGCTGGTCTCGAACTCCTGATCTCAAGTGATCTGCCTGCCTTGGCCTCCCAAAGTGCTGGGATTGCAGGCCTGAGCCACTGCACCAGCCCCAAATGTTAACATATATAGATATGTGTTCCCACTATATAACACATAGTGGTATGCACTGTATGAGACATATGATAGATTTGTATCACCACTGTGGTGAACAGTTTGATCACCCTAAAAATCTCCCTCTTTGCTTTCCCTTTATTAGTCCTGTCAACCACTGATCTGTCCTATAAGGTAATCTTTAATTTTATGCAAATTCTTATTCAATAAGAATTAAGTAAATTTTACAGGAAAAAAATAGCCTAATAAGGTGATTTTTCTAAAGCATTTAAGAGAAAAATGTCAAATATGAAGTATGTTAAATACATGTATGGCTTTAGTTTTCTTCTGGATTATTTTTTATTTAGAAAAATAAACTTGTTCTCTGGCTTTCTCAAATACAAAGAGTATTTTATTTGGGATTTCATTCTTTTTTTAGTGTTGAGAAAGCTTTTAAATTAATCAAAAAGTAATTTAAAATAACTTCATTGTAACAGTTCAAGTAAAAAAAGCAAAGAAAATAACATTAATTAACATTAATTCAAGTATATCTAAAACAGTTATCTGGCTGAACACACTTTAATAAATATTTAAGATTCACTGTTATTTCACAATATACCTCCCACAAAGAATTAATGTCAAGAAGACATTAAATTTTTTTTTAAGTTGTAGGTTCAGGTTTTCATCAATGGAATACTAGCTAGCAACAAAAAGTAACAAATTACTGATCACTTAACAACATGGATGAATCTCAAAAACAAAAACATTACGCTAAGTCAAAGAAGCCAGACAAAAATTTAATATATCGTGAGAAAAATAAGATCAATGGTTGTCTGGCCTGGGGCCAGAGATGGGAGCAGGAAACCAAATACACAGAGATAGCAAATAATTTTTCAAAGTGATGGAACTGTTCTGTATCTTGACTGTGGCAATGGTTATATAAATGTATCCATTTGTCAATATCCATAATATCGTTCACTTAAATGGTACATTTTATTTATGTAAATTATACTTATAAAATTGATTTTTAGAAAGTTAACAGGCTCAGAAGCTAATTCTTTTAGTCTAAATTAAGGTAGATTTACTGTATTAAATTTAAGGAGTTTAAAACCAAATTGATTCTGATAATATTCATGAAATATTGACACATGATATACTAGCAGTATGGTTTAGAAAAATTGTGAAACAGATAAGCCACATACACACTTACATGATCCTTTGACTGCAAAAATGTTCTAGTTCTCTTCATAAGCTAAAGAGTACTTTTCATAATTTACCACTTGTATTTATGTTACAAATTTTGAGCCAAAATTAAATACTGAGTGTCAAGATCTTCTTATGTTTATAAAAGGTATCATGAGTTACCCACATGATAATCTTTTAAAGAGTGCAGCCATCTGGTCTGGTTTGTCAAAGCTGGTCCTCATCTGTGTTAGCACATCAACATTCTCCACCACAAGTTTCTAAAAAAAAAAAAAAAAAGAAAAAAAAGAAAGATCCTAGGTCAGGCACAGATCTCTTTGTGTTAACGAGGTAAGAGCATGCTTGGAAATTACAATCTGACAAGGAGGAAACAAAATTCATGAAATCCAGATGCTCTATGCTATATATTTTTGTTGTTGTTTCAATAAAAGAATCTGAAAATTATTTACATAAGGTTAGTGTTTTCCTTCAGTTTACAAATTCAAGAAAGGAAGGAGTTCAGGGAAAGCAGCAAAGATAAGCAGTAGGATAAAGAGTCATCTTATGCTCAGACATTGATCGGCACCAATAATAAAAAGTAGACACTAAAATGGACCTAACAACAAATTCCAACTGAAACAAAAGAATTTGCTAAAGTTAAACCTGGCCAAAGGATGCCTGTAGACAGTGAGTTTATTACTGGAAACACACAATCAGAGACAGAATAACGTGGTAGAGCATGGTACCACTTGATGGGGATTATATTATAGCAATGTTTCCCAACAAAAATTATAAAATGGAGGTATAAACTATCCACTTCTCTTTCAGGGACCACTGAGAAAAGGGAAGGGAAAAGAAGGAAGAGATATAAATAAGGGAAGGCTGTGAAGGATAACTATTCAAGAAAAGTATAACTCATTGAAGAATATTCTCCTTAAAAGAAACATTTAAAAAGTAATTTACTTTAAAAATTATAACTAACACAAATAAAATTAATTTCATTCTGTCAGAGATAAGCCTGGACAACAATAAACAGAGTTTCTAAAACAATGGAGAAATGAGTGAGACATTCTGTTCTTTCTTGCACTGTTACCTGTGCCCTCTACCTTCATCACTAAGTTCACCACCATCACACTTCCCAGTTCTTTCATAATATAAGTTATAATTTAATTTCTGATCTCTTTATTTCTACAAAGTTCTTTTAAATCAGAATTTTCTTTACTTTTGTTCTCTATATTGGTTCTCAGCCCTTCTACACATCACAATCACCTGTGGCGTTCTTTCCAAATACACATAAACAGGCTTCACTCCTGGATATTTCAATTCAGCAGACCTAGTTGGGAAGGTGCAGCAAGCATATAAAGTGCCATGGTGGTATTTTACAAACAAAAAGTTGATAACAACTGATTTAAGGGAAAAACTATATAGAAAATTCATGAAATATTTTTTGAAAACACAGTTTTGTTTAGGTTGTTGGATGATATTACTTCAGATTATTTCTTATTATGCACCTAATCAGAAGTTAAGCTCTAGTCACATTTATTTGCTGAATTTAACTTCTATGGTCTCTGATTAGTCTGCCTGCTCTCTCTGGGCCAAGTCAAAACTCTCCCAACCTAAAACTAGATTCAATAAACATGCAAACTCGATTGCCCAAGCCTGACAGTGACCATGCACTTTAAACAGACCATCAAGTATCAGTGAATCAACACCATCTAATTTAAAATGCACCTTATTCCATGTGTCACTAAAAGGAAAAACAAAAAAACTACTAAACTATAAGATACATACAAAAAAATATTAATACATGTTTAATAGCAAGAGCAACTATAACCATTTGTGAAGTTCTTATACAAGGTAACTTACAATCACATTTACTATAATCCAAATGAGGGAGGTAACACAATTTTACAGCTGAGGAAACTAAGGTCAGAGAAGTTGGATAACTTGCCCAAAGTTACAAAGATATTCAATAGTTAATTTGGAATTTGAATTCAGATATGTCACATTTTAAAATCCATGTTCTTAATCCCCAAAGAAATGGTCCCCCCAACTTTAGTGTGCATCAAAATTCTCCGGAGGACTGCTTAAAAACATACATTGCTGGGTCCTAGATACCCAACTTCTGATTTAGCAGGTCTGAGATAGAGATCAAAAACTTGCATTTTAAACAAGCTCCAAGGTAATGCTTAGTCTGCTGGTCTGAGAAGTAAAATTTGAGAACCATTACTCTAAAGTATTTGCTGACTTATTACTCTTTGCGCCTATGTTTAAACCTATTGATTAATCTCATTGACAAACTGAAATCTGGCAGTAATAATAGGAATTACCAATGAAATGGCTTAGAATAAGTTTAGACAAAGCAAGTGAAACAAAAATGTTTTTAAATTATTAATTTACTTGGTACTGTGTTAAAAAGAAAGCGTTAAAATTCTCAACGAAGTTCTTACATAAATTTCCTACTTCATTTGAAAAAGTGTCTTTTAGGATACCATAAAGAACTAAAAGAACTGATCTGTAAAACATCCAAGATTTTTAGTAGAAAAAAAGATGGTTGCTTTCTTCTCTTGAAAGGAATAAACATGTTTCATCATGAATACACGTACATAGTGTTGATTATATCTGACACACAATTCATTCACAACCATCAAATATAAAGAAGCTCTACTTTTTAAATTAGCACACAAATTTACTCTACAAAACAAGAAAGTCCTCAGCTAAAACAGTAACTAAAATAATTAAGGTCATCTTTCAGATAAAAAGAAAAAGATACAATCAAATGATATTTAGTTTATATCCGTTTAGATTAAATCTTCTAAAAACAGAAATAAAAGCAAAGAAGTGACCAGGCATGGTGATTCACAACTGTAATCCCAGCACTTTGGGAGCTGAGGTAGGAGGATCACCTGAGGTCAGGAGTTTGAGACCAGCCTGGCCAACAAGGTGAAACACTGTCTCTACTAAAAACACAAAAATTAGTCGGGCGTTGGTGGCAGGTGCCTGTAATCCCAGCTACTTGGGAGGCAGAGGCAGGAGAATTGCTTGAGCCCAGGAGGCGGACGTTGCAGTGAACTGAGATTGCACCATTGCACTCCAGCCTGAGTGACAAGAGCAAGACTTCGTTTCAAAAAATAAAAAACAAAAAAAAAGTAAAAAAAAAATAATTAGTAGGGCACAGTGGTACATGCCTATATTTCTCAGCTACTGAGGAGGCTGGGCCCAGGAGTTCAAGCCTGCAGTACACTATACATGTGCAACTGTACTCCAGCCCAGGTGATAGACCTGTCTCAAAAAAAAAAAAAAAAAGGAAAAGAAAATACAGAATAACCTTTAAAATATTACAATTCCCCCAAAACACTGTACATACTAACTCCAAAAAGACTAAAATGCTTTTAGAGGCATCACAATGTTCTGCTGAGGAGAGTGTGAGCTACAATCTTTCAGAGGGATATTTGGTAATATCAAAAAAGTTAACGTTTGTACTCTTTGATCCACCTTTAGAAATGTTTTCTACAAAAATGCTCAAACATGCAGGTGATGTTGCAGAGAAAAAGAAGTGTTTATGCACTGCTGATGGGAATGTTAATTAGTCCAGCCACTGTGGAAAGCAGTTTGCAGATTTCTCAAAGAACTTAGAATTACCACTCAATCCAGCAATACCATTACTGGGTATATACCCAAAGGAATATAAATCGTTCTAACATAAAGATCCATGCATGTGTATGTTCACTGCAGCACTATTCACAACAACAAAAAAAGACATGGAATCAACCTAAATGCCCATCGACAATAGACTTAATAAAGAAAATGTGGTACATATATACCATGAACTACTATGCAGTCATAAAAAAGAACGAGATCATGTCCTTTGCAGCAACATGGATAGAGCTGGAGGCCATTAACCTAAGGGAATTAACACAGGAAGAGAAACCAAATACCCGACATTTTCACTAAAAAGTAGGAACTACACATCAAGTATACATGGACACAAAGAAGGGAGGAACAGGCACCAGGGCTTACTTAAAGGTAGAAGGTGGGAGGAGCGTAAGGGTCAAAAAACTACCTATTGGGTACTTTATTACCTAGGTGACAAAATAATCTGTACACCAAACCTGTGACATGTAATTTGCCCATGTAACAAACCTGCAAATGCACCCCCGAATGTAAAATAAAAGTTGAAAAGAAAAAAAAATGCTCAAACAAGTACGTAAACTATGTAGAAGTGCTGATTAAACGTAGAGAATTTTAAATATCTCTAACACTGCTCCTCAGAAATCCACTCAAGTCAGAGGTAAAAAATAAAGGAATAAAGCTACAAAAAAACAGAAAAAGGATAAAAAAGGAAACAGCAGGGAAAAAATAGACCAAATGAGAAAAGTTAACAAATTTCTGGAAGATGGAACCTAGAGCAAAGAATAAGCAGAGGTGAGAAATCTGATTTGCAAGTTCTTATAATGAAGATACAATGTAGAAGTAAGTTAAATCACACCTCAAGAGGGAGGAAGGAATCAGAAATTGAAGGTGATTGGCACAGGAAGGAAGGCTTGAAGCTGAAAACAAGACAATAACTTTATCATGGCAATTATTTGCAGGAATCATCTGAAGCCTAAGATGAAGATACCTTTCTCCAGAGAAGATTTGTGTTAGCATCTGCTAAGTATGTTGGGGCACTGCTAACCTAAGACCACATTAATCCAGGTCCAAGACTCGAGATGCCTGAGACAGCACAAACAGGGCTGCAAATCCTGGGGAGGGGTGATTCATTTCCAATTCACCCTTACCCTGAAGGTCTAACCCTTTGGAATGTCTATGTAAAGACGGCTTGGGAAAAATTAAGCAGATTTCCCATGCTCCACTTTGAGAAGGCTCTACTCCAGGTTTTTGACTACTTACACCCTTGCCCCCCAAGGCCACCAGAATTCAGCTTAGTTTTACAAACGTTACTGCTGCTTTAGTACACGTACCCAGGTGAAAAGTGGCTTCCAAAGCTGGGCTTATGTCTCTAATTTCCCAGGTTGCCCTTGGCGTTAGCCTAGAAATATTTCACTATCTTTCTAGTTCTTCTTTAAAGAAGATTCTCTTATAGATACATATATATATATATCCATATCTCCAGCTTTTTAAAGTTGTTCTTTGGAAAAAAGGTGGTCTGAATTACCTAGCCTACCAATACTGGAAGCAAAAATCTGTAAGTTCTTCTGTTTCTATAATTTCAAAAATTAGGTTATTCTAAGGAAAGTAATTTTATAGGACACTAAAAAAATTAGAGTCATCAATGGCAGAATGATTACTTTTAGAGATTTATTTAAATGAGACAGACTAGTATATAACACACTGAATTAATCTATATGAAACATTATTATGATCTGTAGGATTTCTTATGTAATAAAATACAAGAATACATATGAAGTATGCCTCAGTACACAGCAGCTGAGAAAACAAAGTCACAAATAAACACCTCTCAAGTTCTTAATGATAAACAAGTAGTTGAATACAAAGCAATCTGAACTACATCTTGGGGTTATTAGGAGAGATCTCAAACCTTATTTTGAACAACTAAATGATGAGGGCACCACATTAGAAATATAAATATTTCATATGAAGCTTTTTGAAAAACATAATCCTCAAATAAGTCAGAATTTAGTATTTGAGAGGCAAAAAAGTAAAAACAAATACCAAACATAATCATAACTACTATAATATTAAATCAATAAAATATGGAAGTTATTATTATAAAGGTAAAATGGAAAGTCAAGTAAGAAAAAAAATCACATAGGAGATTACTAAAAAGCTAACATCAAGTTTTCAAAAAAAAAAAAAATGTTTTAAATATCCTTAACCTTAAGCTTTATATATCCTTAAGTTTAAGGATATTTAAAAAGTCAACACTGTTTACTGTGGCTCCACATTCCCCTAACTTTAAATTCTAATAATATTTGAGAAAGAGAAAATATAGCCACTCTAAATATAAGAGAGAAATGTTAACACATAAGCATCTTCCATTTCTTCTCAAGAATGAGAATATATTTGGTAACATTCATACTCAAGAGACAAGGCTAAAATAGTTAACTTTGTAAAATAATTGATAAAAGACTAAGATAAAATCTGTAATAAATAAAAGACCCTAGTATAACGGACAATACCTAACAAGATAAACTTTACTAAGAATAACTGCAAAGCATATACTCAGGTCTAAAAATTTCACAAAATATAAGATGTAGAAAGTCATGGTTTAAAGTTAGCATAAGTGAAAAAAAGGAAAAAGAAAATTCACCTGATTACGAGTTGATTGTGAAAACAGTATGCCATAGCTACCAAATGTTTATGCTATCTTAAGCTGTATTAGTACATACAGTATCTAGAATAGATAAATGCACCCTCACTAATCAGATCTCTATCTGAAACTCATCCTTAATTCAGGACACTATTCTCTAAGAGTGACATCAAAAAAAAAAAAAAAGATTTTGTACAAAGGAAGGAGTGACAAAGACGGCAAAGAGACTACATATGAATATATTCCACACAGGGAAGAGAAACATGTTATGTGAAGGGTAATCTTGTCAAAGGTAATCTCTGCCTCTTGATTTAAGAATGAGGACCAATAAAAAATTACTACTTAGATACTAAATCAACATTAACTAGAGATGTATAGTAATTGACAAGATGGCCTCATTTTCAAAAAGACCAGATAATATACCTTGAAAAATGCAACACGTACTCCTTCATCAGATAAGAGTAGGTTAGATGACTACTGAGATCCCTCTCAGTTCTATAGGGAGTATAGCATGGTACTAGCATAATCTCTGGTGCTAGACAGGCTGAGTTCAAATTTCGGTTTCACTATTCACTAAAATGTGAGCTTGCACAAGTTATTTCATCTTTCTTGGCTTTACTTTCCTAATTTATGAAATAAGGAAAACACCTCTTTAAAAAATGTAAAGGAGTTAATAACATTAAGTGAAGGTCTTAGAAAAGTCCTGGAATAAAGAGTTAAGAAAACTGGGCCAGGCACAGTGGCTCATGCCTGTAATCCCAGTCCTTTGAAAGGCTGAGATGGGTGGACCATTTGAGCCCAGGAGTTAAGAGAGCAGCTTGGGCAACATGGTGAAACCCTGTCTCTACAAAAAATTAGCTGGAATTGGTGGCACACGCTTGTATTCCCAGCTACTCAGCAGGCTGAGGTGACAGAATCACTTAAGTCTAGTGGGGCCGAGCTGGCAGTGAGTCATGATCACACCACTGCACTCCAGCCTGGATGACAAAGCAAGATCCTGTCTCAAACAAATCAACAAAGAAAGCTAGCTATTTTTATTTTTGCATCCAACAAATATTTACTAAGTGCCTACTCTGTGTTAGGCACTAGTATACAGCAAAATTTTAAGAGAGTTTAGAACTCCAGTGAAAGTGACATAAACAAATACATGGCATGAGAGGTCAAAATTAAGATACACATACAGCTGAATGAAGAGAATAAAAAGTGCTATCTGCTATTTCTGAAAGTTTGTGTAGGAAGGACATTCTGATATGGTGACATTTGAAAAATACATGAATGTCATGAACAGGCAAGTTATGACCATGTCTCAGGGAAGAGTAGTTTGAGGTAACACAACAGCAAGCAGGCCAGCCAGGCTGGAGGAGTGATGGAGGTAACGAAAAGCAGAAGGCCAGATCCTTGCAGTACTAAGGAACTGTTCATATAAATGAATTCAGAGAGATTCAAAATAGGCTAATTTTTATTACTGCACCATGATACTGCATCCAACAAATAACTAAAAAGAAAAAATAATACAGATAATTCTAGAAGTGCCTCATTATTCAATCTGAAATAAAAATTAGCTGGCTGAAGTAAAAATATGGAGCCATAGTTCTTCTATTATCTCATACTGAAGGAACACAAGAAAAAAAATTGGGAAAAAAAGTTGGAGATGAGAAATTTGTTATCTGAGAACAGGATAGAAAAAAAATCATGTATTTACAGGAGAATGAGTCTAATAAATAAGAATGATACTGCTTGTAAAGAACCAAGACTAGCATTTCAATGTCTGTATATTTACAACCATATAGAGTTTACAACTTTGTAAGTTATAAAATATAAAGTTTTACACAAAAAACTAGCCAGAGTTGGTGACACATGCCTGTAATTCCAGCTACTCAGGAGGCAGAGGTGACAGAAATGCTTGGACCCAGGGGGCTAAGCTGGCAGTGAGCCATGATAAAATAAAATATAAAGTTTATAACTTTATATTTTAAGGTATCTAAAAGTTGACTTTTACACAATAATTGCAGAACACTTTAAAAATAGCAATGAGAGGATAATAATATGATGAACACCAAAATAAGAGACATGCTGAGCACCTAAAAAGCTTGGTATGCACGAACTCATAAAATTCTCTCAAAGTAGAAGCTTCGTTTAAGTATTTGCCCAAAATCAAAGCTTGTAAGTGATAGTTCTGAAATTCAGGAAAGCCTAACTTGAAAGCTTGATTTCTTTTCTTTTCTTTTTTTTTTTTTTTTGAGATAAAGTCTCACTCTGTCACATAGGCTTCAGTGTAGAGGCACGATCTCAGCTTACTGCAACCGCTGCCTCGTGGGCTCAAGCGATTCTCCTGCCTCAGCCTCCTTAGCAGCTGGGATTACAAGCACCCAACACCACATCCGGCTGATTTTTGTATTTTTAGTAGAGATGGGATTTCACCATGTTGGCCAGGCTGGTCTCAAACTCCTAACCTCAGGCAATCCACTCGCCTCGGCCTCCCAAAGTGCTAAACTACAGGCATGAGCCACTGCACCTGGCCGAAAGCTTGAGTTCTTACCAATGGATAATACTGCCTTACTTTTTGAAATCTTTGACTATACTAAGCTTTTAGTCACACTGACTCTTGCTATTTACTCAGAAGAATATTATTAAGTTTGTGGGAATTAACTTATTCTACATATTTGCTCAATTTTCAGTAGATCAGATTATCACATTTAGAACTCTATGTGCTACATCTGAACTATAAGCTATTTACCAGTACCATATACCATTTTCTTAAGAAACCAAAAATTGGCTGGGCATGGTGGCTTGAGATCCTGTAATCCCAGCACTTTGGGAATCCAAGGTGGGCAGATCACTTGATGTCCGGAGTTCGAGACCAGCCTGGCCAACATGGTGAAACACTATCTCTACTAAAAATACAAAAATTAGCTGGGTGTGGTGGTGCATGCCAGTAGTCCCAGCTACTTGGAGGCAGAGGGCTGCAGTGAGTTGAGATTGTGCCACTGTACCCCAGTCTGGGCAACAGAGTGAGACTCTGTCTCAAAAAAAAAAAAAAAAAAAAAAGAAGAGAGAGACAGAGAAACTAAAAATTCAAGGCACAAGTTACCACCAAAAAGCTTTCACAAAGAAAATGTTTATTTTAAAACATGACTTCTCTATTCTGCTTTTAAGTTCAAGTTCAAATTCTTTCAAAAACTACATAGTTACTATATATACAGATTGATTCCATATAAATCACCTAAGCCCTAGGATATTTCTAAAATGCTAAAAAAAGGTATTTAAAATATTGTTGCTTCAATTCCTTTACATCTTTACTGAAACATTAAGCACTCTAAAGGCATTTTTCATCCAACTTAGAGGGAATAAGATAATTTAAAAGATTACTTATGAAGAAAAAGCAATAAGCCTAATAATGTTTGTATTACAATCTATGGAAAGCAAATACATTCAAACTACAAGTGTGAATAAATTTTTAACTTTGGCTGGAATTTTGAACCTGGTATTTCAAAGAAAAACATCATGATACAATACTATGAAGCCTTGACCACAAGCCAAAAACCCTGAAGTTCAGTCCCCTTTACCAAGTCAATTCACCTCTTTTGGCTTTCCATTTTCTCACATGCAAAATAGAGAAAACGAAACTAAGATGCCATAAAAAGGCCCTGCTGGCTATTTAATTTCATTTTCATATTAGTACTTTCATGTTGGATTAAAATAATCAACATTCTAGGCTTGCTGCTCATATTCCTGAAATGTTTTTTAGGAATTGTTTAAAAGCTAAAATTAATAAAGACTATATTACCTTAAGTTCAGCAACTTGTGATGAAATATGCCACATAAGGCTTTCACTTAGGAACTTCATACCATATGGGCCTAGTAGTTCTGATAATGACCTCATTTCTGAAAGAAAATGTACTTAATTTTATACTTTTGACAGAGCAAATACTTTAAGAAAATGAACATTAACACAATGCAATATCTCATTATAAAAACTAATGTAAAATCCTGAAAAAAAAAGTCTCTGGAATGAAAGACAGAATATAAAATGCAAAAGTAATTCTAACATACAATATGCAGTTATACATATAATTGAATGGAACAGTCACAACAGAATCAAAAGTCCAAAGAATCAAGACACCAGCAAAAGAATTAAGTTTTCTTTCTTCTCTAAACTGTGGTATAGTATTATTCACCTGATATGTCAGAATACTCCTCCGCATTGAACGTTAATTCATTTTCTGTAGGTAAGTTCACAAATGCTTTCATTGCAGGAAAATATGCTATATGGCCATTGCTGACTTGTCGTAACAAAGTTTCCAAATACCTAAAGAGTAAAGTAAACTTATAACTGGAAGAAGCTGCTTAATTTAAACGTATTATGATATACATCCTGCATATAATTTTAAGTTGGTTGATAATATGAACGAGCGTTTATTCATAAAAAATTAATTTTCCTAAGTAGTTCATTACAAACTTTCTATTACTATAATTTCTAAATGCATTCCTTACCAATTTGTGTATAGACTTGTAATGGTTGGCTCTCCATGACTGTCTAAATGTTGTGTTTGTTGAAGAAGAACATTATTAAATACTCTCGTAATGTCAATCTGCACATAGTTTTCTATTGACTGGAGTACAGTCATGTATGCTCTTACACTTGTTAGAAGTTCTGAAGGTTTTGCAATTTCCTGTGTGGCTTGATTATACATAGTCATCCCAACAATTGACCTGGGGAGAAGGAATAGGAGAATAAGAAAAGCCTCTGACTTTTCCATTCATATAAAATAAACCATTGAATCTAATGTTAATCTAATATTAAACAAGCAATAAAATTAACTTTAAAAATAATTTATCACAAAGCTATAAAATTACTGTCATTCACTTCCCATGAAACAACATAAAAAAAGAATGAAAGCTGGGAATGGTGGCTCATGCCTGTAATCCCAGCACTCTGGGATGTCAAGGTAGGCAGATCATTTGGAAGTCAGGAGTTCAAGACCAGCCTGGCCAACATGGTGAAACCCCATCTCTATTAAACATAAAAAAATTAGCCTTTCAATTACAGGCACATGGCACATTCCTATAATCCTGGATACTCAAAAAGCTGAGGCAGGAGAATCGTTTGAACCAGGCAGGCAGAGGTTGCAGTGAGCTGAGATTCCACCACTGCACTCCAGCCTGGGCAACAGAGCAAGACTCTATCTCAAAAAAA